AAAATCAGCCTATGGCCGGATGCGTCACATGTTGGCCATGCCACACCTGGTTTAGCGGGAAAAAACCCTCATGATACAGCACGTGATGCCGCCGTGACAATATGTGTTTGACACTTTTGAATTAAGATATTGTCAGAATTATTCTGCTCAGTATTATCCAGTTAAACCAGCTTTACTATTAATTTGATCAGTAACTGAGTCAAAAGCTGATGTTCCAAAGATACGGTTATATTGTTTACTTTAAATCAGCAATCATTGATTCTCCATGTTTGTTAATAATTTCCTACATCCATCAGATATTTAAGTGGCTCATTATAATTTTCAAAAATGAGGTTTTTATTTAAATCTATTCTACATGCACTGCCTATGAAAGTCTTAGAATGGCAGACTGGCTTCTATGTGTCTGGTAAAAATGATTATTGCCATGTAATAAATGGTACATATTCACATAAACAAAATGTGTTCATTAGCTCACTTTAAAATACATTTTAAAATTTACATACATACATACACACACACACACACACACACACACACACATTTACATGTGAAAACAGGGTCAAAGAACACTGGAATAGAAGCAGTAAGGTATGATGGTATACCAAGGAAGCATAGCTATGGGAATTAACTTATATACCAAACTGGAAATTACAATCACTGCATTCATAAAACAAGAGCTAATCAAGTTTAGCATGCCCTATGAATGCAGCCATTCAGTGAACTGGAGAAGTATGTCAAACATCAGAGTTTTCTAGTCTGTAAATTTAAAAAACATGATACTGAATCACTTGAATGGCTAACACGTATCCCATGTTTTTGTTTTCAGTATTATGTACATCCTGCATTAAAAGTAAAATAATACACCTTGGCATATTACTTCTGTGAACTGTCCCATAATAAGCATTTCGAAACAATTCCTTAAGAAAACAAAAAACAAACATTGTTTCCCTTGTATTACTAAAATACACCTGAAGGTTGTCATGAAGGATTTTACCAATGTTCAACAACTGATAATAAATAAGCTGAAGTATTTGGTTACTTGAGAGCAATATTGAGGGATGAGACACACTATTTTTAATTTACTATGTAAGAAGTCAGTGTTTCCAAATTTTACATTTTTTAAAAACAGTGTGGTGCTGGGGAACAGTAACACATACTTAATGTTACTTTCTGGTGCACATGTTTCTGAAACTTTTTAAATGAAAAAGCTTTTATTTCCACAAATTTATTCGGTGGTCTTTGCAACAGATCTGCATTGGATTTGTAATGGGGAATGCTTGAGCAGGAATGTAGCCTTTTGTTACTATGAATAGTTAGGGCAGATTAGCTGTGTGCCAATTTCCTGTTGCCTTTCAAAGCTGTTATCTGAACCCTATTTGCTTCTGGCTTTTGCACAATAGAAAACAATGGGTGGCTTCATTCAGGTTTCACTTCAGAACTCTTAGGAATAGGGGAAGTGGCTAAAGCCCTACTTTACAGGTAATTAACAATAGATCATGTTTGCTACCCTCCTCCTCCACTCTCTCTTTTTTTAGACTGATAAAAGCTTAAAAGGGCTTCCTATATGCCAGTTTAAAGGCTTCAGGAAGTTCCTGTTGTTTCTGCCTTTGCATTAATACTTCCTACATTGTATAATTCTTTGAAATTTGTTACACAAGTATGCCTGAAAACATACATGGAAAAAAAGCAAAGGCATAGGGCATCTTAGGAGCCTGCCTTTTTTCTTATCTTCAATCTTCTAAAAAGCTTTGGCTTATTTATCAAACACAACACTTTGCATTGTATGAATCATCTGGGGAAAAACTTGTTTCAAATTTTAAGTTTAACGAATGTTCAGGCTTCCTTTTCAGGCAATACTCTCTCAAGGCAGCTTTCAGAATGCAACAGCACAATGATAAATAGCAAAGTAATAAAAGGTGGTCACAAAAGAAACTCCCAGCCATGAAATATTAAAATATTTGTAAATAAAATTAAAAAAAAACATTAAAACTAGTAATCCTTTTTGGGACAGACATCCTGAGGTCAGATCAGAAGCAATGGATTGATTGATTGATTGATTATACCAATTCAAATCAATCTCAACACCTAGTATAGATCTTTTTTTTTTCACATAACGATGTATTCCTAAACCTTTTAGATCTTCCAATGGTGCCCCCATCACCACTGTAACTGAATCCATCCAGCTTGCTGCTGGTTTTGTCATCTTCTCTTTCCTTCCACCTTTCTTAGCATTAGACCCTTCTCCAGAGAGCTAGCTGAGTCTTCACATAATGCATCTTCTGGCTTTTAAAATAGCCTTTAAGGTCTAGATATTTTGGAATATAGTGGGGTGGTACGTGATGGTTTAATGGTTAAAGATGCTAACCTTGACAGCCCTAGTTTGAAATCCAAGCTCCGTGTAATGTGGTGAGCTCCCATTGCTTATCCCAGCTCCTATACACCTAGTAGTTTGAAAGCATGCAATGCGAATAGATTAAGAGATACCACTTCACTGGGAAGGTAACAGTGTTCCATGTGCCTTTGGCGTATAGCCATGTTGGAAATTGTCTTCATACAATACTGGCTCCTTCAGGCAAGAAATGGAGATGAGCACTATGTCGGTTGACACAACCAACAGGGAAACCTTGATTTTTTTATTTTGGAAAGCCTTTGGGACTGGAGACTGCAGGCATTAATAGAGTCTTTAAGAACTTGACAAATCGGTGATAGTGTTTTTGCACAAGATACTAAATTTGGTGCCAATAGCATCAAATTATATTAATCCTGATTTACTGGTGATAAATTTGTAGTTTTTGGTTCACCAACACATCCCAGCTTTTAATTTTTTACATGCTTTTTTTGACAAAAAATCATGTAAAATACAAACTGCTATGACACAGCTGGACCTGGAATCATTAGAGAGAAGATTACAGAAAGCTTCCAAGTTTGGGTCCCCATTTCACCATGTATTCTGTTGTCTGAGCCCACCAACTCTGAGGAACTGATTCCACTGTTGAACTGCAACAGTGTTAAGAAGTCTTTTTCTAACATTCAGTTGGATATTACTTTAGCATAACTTAAGTCTATCATTAAATTTCTTGCACTGTGCAGCAAGATACAGCATGCCTTGAACAGTTGCTTCCCATAGTTTGGAAATTACTCTCTTCCGGAAGAAACTAGAAGCAGCATTTGTCTTTTCTACAGCCACATGTCAATGGTAGCTGATACTCAGTTTGCAATCAATATTAAAAAACCCCACCAAAAAATTCTATGGGCAGAAAATATATTAATCAAGCTGCAGGAAGCAATTGAATTATGCTAGTTTGAAACAACAGATTCAAATAACAAAGTGTTTTACTTTTTTGCTCATTCTATCGGGACTCTTCTTTTTTTTTCTGTTATATACCTGATTGTTCGACTTGTTCAGTAAAAATATTCAAAATACAAAGCATGTTTTAATTATATGTAACTATATAATCATTTTATATTCAACATAGAACAATTTTCATTATTTTTTTTCTTTTTACTAAAATTGTTGATTATTCAAGTATAATAAAACTTCCTTTTATCTTCTCAATTTCTTTTAAATTCCCCCGCATACTTTAAAAATTGAATATTGCAGTCAAATTAATCAGATAACAAAGAAGATAAGAAGCTAATTTTTTCAGGTTAAAAATGAAGTATTCGGGACACAAGAGCTTTAGATTAAGACACTGCCTGAATTAAAATCCTATCTATTCCCTGGTGGATTTAATTGCCACAAAAGTGCTATGTGAGATCCCGCCTATCTCCGTGCTAAGTGGCATGACTAACTTCTGTCAGGTGTGATTTATTTTCTTTTTCTTGTTTGCTTCATCTCCTGGGGGAAATCTTACGTGCCAGTGTAGGGATATGTTTGATTAGTTTTAAAATTATGTTTTGGTTTGATTTTTTTTTAAGTGGGTGGATAATATTTTCTGTTTTCTCAGATAAAGGATGTTGACTTTTAGACATGTGTTGCTATCAGTGACTCAGGCTGAAAATACATATGGTACTCCTTAGCTAGAAAAAAATATGGATTGCAGCTAGCATCTTTTAACTAAAGAAGACAACGCTGATTGGCCTATGTATTCACAGTGAATAATACTTGCATGTCTAAAAATATTTATGCAATTTTTAGAAAACATATGATGTCATTAATGCTGAGTTCTAATAGTCGTCTTCTGTGAAAACCTCAGAACTCCAATTGAATTACAGGAATTGCAACCCAACATATCTGGAGTGAATTGGTATGGAGACAGCTGATGTTTAATGTTGGGCTCAATTGAATCTGTTCACTAAAATAATATTATAAATACAACATATTTTACAATAATTATAGATTATAAAATTAATAATACTAATATACGTTTCAGTAGGACTTATTTTTCATGTTGCGTACAGGTTGAAGATTTATAACCATTCATTTAACAACTGTTCAAGGATACAATTGCTTTGAAAAAAATGACTTGCATCCAGCCTTTTCATTAACAACCATCACATATGTGATCAAAATTAAGGCGCTTGGAAAATTGCATGCATTGATGACAATTGCACCATCCTGGGGTCATGTGATTGCCATTTGCAAGCTTCCCGGCCAACTTCCAACAAGCAAATTTAATAAGGGAAGCAGGGCTCACTTAACAACTGTATGATTCACTTAACAACTGCAATGATTTGTGTAACAACCATGACAAAAAGTCATAAAATTGGGTTCAACTCACTTAACAACTGCCTTACTGAACAATAGAAATTCTGGCCTCAATTGTAGTCATAAGTCAAGAACTATCTATACTGAAATAAATAGAAGTGCATATAAAGTGGATTAAAAATAGCTTGCAAATTATATTTATGGGGGAAAAACTCCTTAGTGGTAAACAAAGATTTAGTCATTATCAGAGATGATGTTATATACGATAATAAGATCANCCCCCCCCCCGCAAAAAAAACCCAACAACTTCTGGGAACTTACCCCTCTTTCCAATTTTCTCTCTTTCTTTTAGGATTTCAGATGCATGCCCAGTTCCTGGTGAATGCCAGAATTAGAGACCACTACCGATGGAGTCCACAGGTCAGCATGGAAACAGCAGTTCGTTAGTTGTCCATCAACAGCTTTTTCTGGACAACCGGCAAAGGTTGGACTATGAAAGAGATATTCAGCCAACTGCCATTTTGTCACTGGACCAGATAAAGACTCTCAGAGGCAGCAATGAATACACTGAAGGTCCATCTGTGGTGAAAAAGTCTGCTCCCCGGACAACTCCAAGACAAGAAAAACATGAAAGGACTCATGAAATCTTACCAATAAATGTGAATAATAATTATGAGCCCAGACCCAGCCATCCTGGACATGTGCTACATCAACACAACTCAAGGGTTCCTGTTTTGAGCAGATCTACAAGTACTGGAAGTGCAGCTAGTTCTGGAAGCAACAGCAGTGCTTCTTCAGAGCAGGGCCTTCTATTAAGATCGCCACCATCAAGGCTGGGCCCGGGTCAGAGATTTGAAAGGCCAATCAGGACGCAACCCAAACCATCATCTTTGATTGTAGATGACCTGAAGAGTCCTTTGAAAGAGGATTCTACTCAACATAAGTTTATATGTGAACAGTGTGGAAAGTGCAAATGTGGAGAATGCACAGCACCCAGGGCCTTGCCTTCTTGCTTGGCCTGCAACAGACAGTGTTTGTGCTCAGCAGAAAGCATGGTGGAATATAGCACCTGTATGTGTCTGGTCAAAGGAATCTTCTACCACTGCTCCAATGATGATGAAGGGGACTCATATGCGGATAATCCATGCTCATGCTCCCAGTCACATTGCTGGTCACGGTACTTATGCATGGGGGCCATGGCTTTGTTTCTGCCTTGCCTGCTCTGTTATCCTCCTGCAAAAGGATGCCTAAAACTATGCCGTGGGTGTTATGATTGGATGAATCGTCCAGGATGCCGATGCAAAAACTCTAATACAGTTTATTGTAAGCTGCAAAGTTGTCCATCAAGGGGTCAAGGCAAGCTTTCCTGATTTCTGGAGGGAAAGATTCAGTTCCTCAGACACCAACTTTCAGATAGTGGCTGACTTTTCTGTCTTCATGCCCCTTTTTTCTTTCATGCCCCAAATCTTCTCTCACTTCTATTGCTTATCTCAATGAAGGGCAAATCTGAATGCATTGGTCTTTGGTAAGTGTGGCTCATGTGCTGGTGTCTTTTTTCATCTTGGCAAGTCATCTCAGGACTCTGGACTCCTGAAAGAAGTAATGAGGGTACTGGATTTTTCTGAAGTCTTTTATTCTGCAAACAACTTTCCAAAGATGCTGTTTTGTTCTGTTCTATTTTTAACTAACTTTAATGACTTTCCTTTTTTTTTTTCAACTCTTTCCATTCCCCCTTTTTAAAAAAGGCTGCACAATCCAATTATTTCTCTTAAACAAAGTAGAAGGAAAGGAAAGAAATATGGGTTGAAATTTAGCATACCTAAGTCACTCCCCACCTTTTTTTTTAATTAACCACTTGCATTTTACTCATTCCTTGGCCACTATTTTTGACAGTCCAGATTTTAAATATTTATCTTCATTGCCCCCATTACTGGTTTCTTCATAAGCTTCTATTGTTTTCAGATATAGATATAGCTTGCTCTTTGTGTGTGTGTGTGTGTATGTATTT